AACCAGCTCAGCCCTCACCCTGAAGCTCTGGCACAGGAGCTCCAGCCCCAGGACTCCCAGGTGTCCACTCAGTGATCGCACTCAACACAGACGCTCACCATGGAGACTGGGCTGCGCTGGCTTCTCCTGGTCGCTGTGCTCAAAGGTAATGATGGAGAACGCGGGGCACTGAGTCTGGGAGAGGACGTGAGTGAGAGACCCAAAAGTGTGAGTGACAGCTTCCTGACCAGGACGTCTGTGTTTGCAGGTGTCCAGTGTCAGGAGCAGCTGGTGGAGTCCCGGGGATCCTATCACGCCTGGGGAATCTCTGAAATTCTTCTGCAAAGCCTCTGGATTCACCATCAGTGGCAGCTACTGGATGTGCTGGGTCCGCCAGGCTCCAAGGAAGGGGCTTGAGTGGATCGGATGCATTTATACTGGTGATCGTAGCACGTACTACGTGATCTGGGTGAATGGCCGATTCTCCATCTCCAGAGAGAACACCCAGAACACGGTGTCTCTGCAAATGAATAGTCTGACAGCTGCGACACGACCCTGTATTACTGTGCAAGACAGCTGAACCCAGACACAAACCTCCCTGCAGGGGCCTGTCTCCACCAGGGGGTGCACAAGACTCACTGAGCGCAGATTCTGGTCATGCACAGGTGCAGAGTGGGATGAAGCCCTGGTTTCCTGTCAGGGAACTGGGGTTTCCTCTCCTGTCACAGTTTTGAGGGAAGAATTCTTCTTTTATGAGTCTGACCCTGCTACTGATTCTCTGACATGGAGAAGTTTGATGTGACAGGAGAAGTCCTATATGAACGAATCCAGGCTCAGCAGTCTCCAGGATCACCAGGATCAGATATGTGGGACAATCTGGGTACATCGTGAGTGTTGTCCAGTCTGACAGGACAACTCTCTCAAGGCACTGCCAACTTTAGGGAAATTTTACATTTCCCTTTCTATCCAGCGATAGCTGAGCCAGGGTTTGGGTTTAAAAATCGGCTATTTAATATCTCTCACCTGTCAAAACAAGCGAGTGTGCTGAACTGAACCAACCTTTCATTTTACACTGTGGGTGATAAACACTCACTTTCCACAGACTTTATTCACAATCTCCATTTACCATTTAATCCTAACACAGTCTGTGTTCCTTGCATGAATGTCACAGCACTCAGGAATGTACTTGCAGCTCAGCTGTGTCTCAGGTTGAGCTTCTGCAGGCACCTGGGAAGCCTACAGAGAATTCCTCATCCTCTAGGTCCTGGGACCCTCCTGGGGGCTCCCTGCCTGAACTTAGGAGGGAAATGCACTGGACATCAGCAGTCAAGGTCATTACTGAATGGAAAGTGTTGAGTGTGCACTTCCAGCTGATCTGGTTCTGTCGCGTGTTGTGGGACCCCCTGCACCTGCTGTGGTTCAGGGAGAGCAGAAAGTGGGACACACAGTGGCTGTGCACTCTGGGGCTGGAGTCCACATCACGGGGAGCTGTGTCTGTGGCTCCAGCATGATGACCAGTGTCCTGAGGCTGGATCACAGCTGCAGGAAGAGCCAGTCCCAGAGACCATTTGTCCAGAGTCCCTACTCTTCACTCCATGTCTATGCTGGCTGGAATCATCAATCGATTTGGAATCCTTCATCAGTTTTAGAGAGGGAGACACCCAGGCTGCATATCAGAGTGCTGGACTGAATATATTTCCATTCTTTCTTTCTTTTTTTTTTTTTTTTACAATCAGATTTAGACAGTGGGAGAGAGAGAGAGAGACAAAGATAAAAGTCTTTGTTCCATTGGTTCCACCATAATGGCCGCTACAGTCAGCATGCTGTGCCGATCTAAAGCCAGAAACCAAGTGCTTCCTCCTGGTCTCCCATGCAGGTGCAGGGCCCAAGCAGTTGGGCCATCCTCCACTGTCTTCTCAGGCTGCATCAGAGAGCTGGAGTGGAAGAGGAGCAACAGGGACAGAATCCAGCACCGTAACCGGGACTAGAACCCAGATTAGCCTAGTGAGCCACAGCACTGGCCCACATTTACATTCTTAACCACACTTGTAACTGACAGTGCACCCTGGAAGACAGCAGATGATGGATCTGTTATGAGGCCCCATCACCAAGGTGGGAACACTGATGCAGTTCCATGTTCCTGGGTTCCAGCTGCCAAGCCTTGAGTGCACTGCCTTTTTTATCATCTCCATAAAACATTGGCAAACACAACACCAGTATTCAGAGTATTGAATCTTCATGATTTGCCATTTTTGCCATTTCATTATCATAAATGTTTGATAAATAATTGAATATAGACATATGAGGTACAATGATATTGTTGCAAAACGAATGTATCAAATTGAGTGGAATTATGAAGTCACTCCTATTGACATGCTCATCACAAAATCCACATGTTCCCATGGTAGATTGTCAGTTGTCTTCTGTTTTGGAATTCTGTAGACACAATATTTGCTTAACTGCTGTCACCATGCTGTGCAGTAGATCCCTCAACATGTGGATCCTGTGGGACTGAAACTCTGACCTTGCTCCAATGTCTCCTCTGTTCCATGCCCTTTTCTTCCATTATTGATTCCTTCTTCCATGAAAATTTCACTGGATTATATGTGTGAACACTCGTGAACGACGCTGCTTTAATTGCACGTGGAACTGCAGTTGTATTTTCTATAGAGACTGTGAATCCCATGCACATCTCCCTGGGATTTCACATTCCTGCTACCCAAAATGCTGTTTGAAGATCCTGTGATAACTGTATGTCTCAGTTTTTGATGACTTTCCATAATGGATTTACTAATTTACCTGACTCCAGCCTTGTACAACCAGAGTGGTCATCTCTCTTCCTTCACAAGAATTGTCAGCTCTGGCTTGTCTGGTAATACTCATTCTAACATGAAGGATGGGACATCTCATTGTGCTTCTAAAATGTACATACATGATGATCTGAGATTTATGGCATTTTACATGTTTGCTTTTATATCATTTCTTAAATTTTATAGATGTAATATACATTTAAAAATTCATAGATTTGTTTTAAAATTTGTATGTACGTTTTTATCTAAAACCACAAAGATTGAGACTGACAGTGATCATCTAACTCCTGGTCACTTCCCAGGTGGCTACAAACGCTTCAGCTGGAACAGGTGACAGCCAGGTACTTAGAATTCATTCCAGGTCTCCAACGTGGGAGTTCTTGGAACTTCACCTACGGCCTCCCAGAGTGGGCTTAGGCAGGAATCTGAAACTGGAACAAAACTAGGACACAGCACTCAGCATCCTGATGCAGGAGCAGCAATCCCACATGCTAACTCCAGTGCTGCTCCTGTCACCACCTTGTCAGGAACTGCATTTAAACAATTGATGTCTTCCCTTGGGATTCAGTTTTCTGTGTTTATTCAACATATGCATATAGGCTCCTAATGATATATAAAATTAATTTTCCATTTAATTTTATATCTATTTAGTTTGAAAGGCAGTGTTATAGCAAGAGAGGAAGAGACCAAGAGGTGGAGAGAGAAGCTTCTTCCACAGGTTTCCTTCCTGAATGGCTGCAAAGGCTGGGGATGGCTGAGCCTGAAGCCAGGAGCCTGGAACTTCCCCGAGTTGCCCACAGTGCTGGAAGGGCACAAACACTTGGGTCATGGTAGACAGTGACTCCATTGCACTCCCTACCTCTGTGAGTTCAAGCATGTGGACTGCATATATAACTAATGTCAAATACTGTTTGTCCACGTGTACCTGCATTATTTCTGTTAGCATATTATGCTCAAGGCTGACCCAAGATTTCTTAATGACAGAGCAACCTCCTTCTTAACACTGAATAATATTCCATGTCAAATGTAACAGACTGCATTCACCGTTTTATGCACATTTCACTTTATTGTAGACTGAACTATTGTGAACACAGCGGCATTACCTGAACCCAGGACTGTGGGTGAATTGTGACACAGTGACTTCATACCCAGTGCTTGAGCTGAACTCAGAGTCATGATTACTAGACACAGGGAAGAGAGGGAACAGCAGACGGCTGCTACCAGGACACAAAGCACCACTCAAAGCAAGGAATAATTCTGCCCCCACCACAGTGGGCTGACTCACTTCACTACAACCCACGACATGTTCCACAAATAAACAGTACTGAGGACACCTGGTCTCCCAACACAAAGTGATGGAACAGAGGTAGAAATGTGAATGACAGTGAGTTGATCTGTGCCTATTTCTGCAACACAGATTCCAATAGCACACTACACCCCACTAACATGCACAGTGTTCTGAGTTAATGAACAGTTTTAAAATAACGTAATGGATGAATAAGGAAACAAGACATAGTATCCTTAAATGAATCCACTTGCAGTGTTTCATCTGTGTAAATATGGGTGGCAGGCATTAGGACAAAATTGGCAAAGTCCCCACTAGGGACACCTGTGTTCCCATCAGAGTGCTGCTTGAGCCCAGCCACAGGGCTTCCCACACTTTTTCCTGATAACACATCGTGGTAAACTACAGTTGATGCTATAGCGATAGAGTCCCTACAACTGACAAAGGAAACACAGACGCAGTTCTGGGCTCCAGGTTTTAGATAGGCTAACTCCTAGATGTTGTAGGCATTTGGGGAGTTTGGGGCTGTCAATCCAAAGGCAGAAATCTCCCATTTTCATCTTTGCTGTCCATCTCTATACATGTGTTTCTCTCACCCCTTCTCTCTATCACTATTCCAATGTCTTTCATATAGATGATAGAGAGGTCAATAGATAATATGAACCAATTGTTATTTAAAAAATGAAGGGCATGATATTGCTTACACTGGATATTAAGTGTACACACATATTAAAAGGAAACAAGGTCATTGCCTTCAACTGTTATAAAAAAAGCAATAAAACATAAAAATTCATATGATCCAAATCCTATCATAGCCATCACCCACAGGACATGTACATCTGCCCTGGGCCCTGTCCTGTCTGAGACATCTACTCCTGGGCTGGCTATATAGGAGCAGACATGCAAATAGGGCCTCCCTCTGCCCATGAAAATCAGCCCAGCCCTCACCCTGCAGCTCTGGCACAGGAGCTCCAGCCCCAGCACTCCCAGGTGTCCACTCAGTGATCGCACTCAACACAGAAGCTCACCATGGAGACTGGACTGTGCTGGCTTCTCCTGGTCGCTGTGCTCAAAGGTAATGATGGAGAACGCGGGGCACTGAGTCTGGGAGAGGACGTGAGTGAGAGACACAGAGAGTGTGAGTGAAAGTGTACTGACCATGTCGTCTGTGTTTGCAGGTGTCCAGTGTCAGCAGCTGGAGCAGTCCGGAGGAGGAGCCGGAGGAGGCCTGGTGAAGCCTGAGGCATCCCTGGAACTCTGCTGCAAAGCCTCTGGATTCTCCCTCAGTAGCAGCTACTGGATATGCTGGGGCCGCCAGGCTCCAAGGAAGGGGCTGGAGTGGATCGAATGCATTTATGCTGGTAGTAGTGGTAGCACTTACTACGAGAGCTGGGTGAATGGCCCATTCACTCTCTCCAGAGACATCGACCAGAGCACAGGTTGCCTACAACTGAAAAGTCTGACAGCCGCGGACACGGCCATGTATTACTGTGCGAGAGACACAGTGAGGGGCCCTAGGGCTGAACCTAGACACAAACCTCCGTGCAGGGGCGCGCGGCTCCACCAGGGGGCGCACAAGACGTACCGAGAGCACATTCTGGTCTTGAGCAGGTGCAGGAAGAGATGAAGCCCTGGTTTCCTGTCAGGGAATTGGGGTTTCCTCTCCGGTAGCCGTTTTGAGGAATTAATTCTACTCTTGTTGTTCTGACCCTGCCGATGACTTCAGTGACGGTGATAAAGTTTGATGTGAAAGGAAGGAGTCGTTAATGAACAAATTCAGTTCATAAACAAGGACAGCAGTCACCAGGATCAGAGATCCTGGGAATCTGAGGACCCTGGTGATTCTTTTCCAACCTGACTCAGGACAGCGCCCTAGGGCAGTGCCGATTTTAGATAATTTTAGTTTTCCCTTTAGAACCAGGGACAGTAGAGCTAGGGTTTCTGTTCTGGTAAACCTCAACTACCTAAGTCATCCCTCTCCTCCCATTAAAATGAGCATGTGTACCGAACTGAACCTGCATTTTTTTTTAATCTGTGGGTGATCCATATTTCTACAGATTGTGCCCACATCGCCATTTTCTTTTTATTCCTAAAACATTTAATTGCTCCTGTGTGAATGTCACAGCACTCAGGAATGTATTTGCTGCTCAGCTTTGTCTCAGGCTGAGCTTCTGCAGGCACCTGGGGAGTTTACAGGGACTTCCTCATTCTCTAGGTCCTGGGACCCTCCTGGGGGGCTCTCTGCCTGGACTCAGGAGGGAAATGCACTCGACATCAGCAGTCAAGGTCATAACTGAATGGAAAGTGCTGGGTGTGCACTTCCAGCTGATCTGGTTTTGCTCCAGTGTCGTGAGACCCCCTGCACCTGCTGTGATTCAGGGAGAGCAGAAAGTGGGACACACAGTGGCTGTGCACTCTGGAGCTGGAGTCCACATCATGGAGAGCTGTGTCTGTAGCTCCAGCATGATGCCCAGTGTCCTGAGGCTGGATCACAGCTGCAGGAAGAGCCAGTCCCAGAGACCATTTGTCCAGAGTCCCTGCTCTTCTCTCCATGTCATGCTCACTGGCATCATCAATGCATTTGGAATCTTTCCTCAGTATTATATAGGGAAGCACCCAAGCTGCATGCAGAGTGCTAGATGGAGCCCATTTGCACGCTTTCCCAGACTAGTAACTGACAGTGCACCCTGGAAGACAGTAGATGATGGATGTGTTAGGAGGCCCCATCATCAAGGTGGGAAAACTGATGCAGTTCCATGCTCCTGGGCTCCAGCTGCCAAGCCTTGAGTACACTGCCTTTATTTATCATTTCCAAAAACGTTGGCTAACATGGCTAACACAACACCAGTATTCAGAGATCTGAATCTATCTGTTTGGTAAATAATACCTGAACATAGAGATATGAGGTACCATGATATGTGCTGACAAAATGAATGTATATTGTGAGAAATAATGTTCTCAGATTTAGTGACATGTTCATCACTAAATGGACATTTTTTTCATGATAGAGTGTCAGTTGTCTCCCGTTTTGGAATTCGGTAAACACAGTATTCTCTTAACTGCTGTTACCATGCTGTACAGTAGACCACACAACATGTGGATCCTGTCAGACTAAACATCTGTCCATGCTCCAGCATCATCTCTGTTTCTACCATGTTCAGACTTTGGTCTTTACCATTGTGCGTCCTGCCTCTGTGAGTTCATCCTTTTTGTCCACGTCGCTAGCATCACCTATTATTATCTTCTTGGCCTGGATGGTTAGCAGTTAGTTAGTTAGTTAGCTAGCTAGCTAGTTAGAGTGTACTTATCCTGACACATTATCCTTGGACATTATTCTCCAGGATCTTACAAGTTTCCAAGATATCAGATTTTCCTCCTGTTTACTGCCATATAAATGTCCTGTTAAAATATAACTTTGTCCACTTGTCGCTTTATACATTCCTTCTTCACTGTAAATTTCACTGGTTTATATGTGTGAACTCTTTTTTTTTTGACAGGCAGAGTGGACAGTGAGAGAGAGAGAGAGAGAGAGAGAGAGAGAGAAAGGTCTTCCTTTACCATTGGTTCACCCTCCAATGGCCGCCGTGGCCCGCGCACTGCGGCCGGTGCACCGCGCTCATCCGATGGCAGGAGCCAGGTGCTTATCCTGGTCTCCCATGGGATGCAGGGCCCAAGTACTTGGGCCATCCTCCACTGCACTCCCTGGCCATAGCAGAGGGCTGGCTTGGAAGGGGGCAACCGGGACAGAATCCGGTGCCCCGACCGGGACTAGAACCCGGTGTGCCGGCGGCACAGGGCGGAGGATTAGCCTAGTGAACCGCGGCGCCGGCTATGTGTGTGAACTCTTGCAAATGATTCTGCCTTAACTGAACATGGGACTGCAGATTTCATTCCCATAGTGACTGCGCATCTTGTGGACACTTCCCTGGGATTTCATATTCCTTCTACCCAGGAATGGTGTTTGAGGATCCTGTGATAATTCTATTTCCCAGCCTCTGATGTTTTCCATGAAGGCTTTACTAACTTACTTGACTCCAGCCTTGTACCAGGTTATCATCTCTCTCTTCCTGCACAAGATTTGTCAGATCTGGTATGTCTGAAAATACTCAGTCTAACAGGAGGGATGGGATGTCTCATTGTTTCTCCAACATAAACATGAATGAAGATTCCATATTTAAAGCATTTTTACATGGTTGCTTTTATATATTTTCTTTAAAAAATTACAGATATACTTTTACATCTTGTCAAATTTGTATTTGGGTATTTGTCCAAAAAGACAGAGACAGAGACTGACAGACAGTGATCTACTGAATCCTGATAACTTCCCAGATGCCCATAAAAGCTGAGTTGGGTCAGACCATAGCCAGGTGCATGGAACTCAGTCCAGGTCTCACACATGGGATAAACTCAGACTTCTCGTACTGCCTCCCAGAGTGCACATTGACAGGAATCTGAAATTGGACCCAAACTAGGACACAACACTCAGCATCTTGATGCAGGAGCAGGAATCCCACATGCTAACTCCAGTGCTGATCCTGTCACCACCTTGTCAGTCACTGCATTTAAACAATTGGTTTCTTCCCTTGGGATTCAGTGGCTTGAGTTCATTCAACATTTGGAAATAGGCTCCTAACCATATGTATAATTAATCTTTCATTTATTTTAAATGTCTATTTAGTTTATTTGAAAGACTGTGTAATAGAGAGAGAGGAACACAAAAGGAGCTGAAGAGAGAATCTTCCATCACTGTTTTTTTTTTTTCCTGAATGGCTGCAAAGGCTGGGATGGCTGAGCCTGAAGCCAGGAGCCTGGAACTTCCTCCAGTTTCCCACAAGGCTGGAAGGCGACAAACACTTGGGTCATGGTAGACAGTGATCACCATTGCGCTTCCTCCCTCTGTGAGTTCAAGCTTGTGGACTGCATATATAACTAATGTCACATACTATGTGTCCACATGTACCGGGATTATTTCTGTTAGCATATTATGCTCCAGGCTGACCAATGATTTTGTAATGACAGAAAAACCCCTTTCTTAATGCTGAATAATATTCCATATCCAAATGTGAAAGAATCCAGTCACTGTTCTATGCACACTTGCTTTATTGTAGACTGAACTACTGGGAACAAAGCTGCAACCTGAAGCCAGCACGGCGGGTGAATTGTGACACAGTGACTTCATACCCAGTGCTTGACCTGAACTCAGAGTTATGATTACTAGACACAGGGAAGAGGGGGGGAAAGAGGACGACTACTACCAGGATACAAGGCACCACTCAAAGCAAGGAATAATTCTGCCCCCACCACAGTGGGCTGACTCAGTTCACTACAACCCATGATAGGTTCCACGAATAAGTAGAACTGAGGCCTCCAGACCTCCCAACTCAGTGTGAAGGAAAGGAGGTGGAAATGTGAATGACATTCAGTTGATCTGTGCCCATGTCTACAACACACAGATTCCAATGGCACACTACACCCCACTACCATGTACAGTGTTCTGTGTTCAGGAACAGTTTTAAACAGTTTAAACAGTTTTTAAACTTTAAGGCAATGGATGAATAAGGGAACAAAACATAGTTAACCTTAAAAAATCCACTTGCAGTCCTTCATCTGTTTAAATATGGGTGGCAGGCATTAGGACAAAATTGGCTAAGTCCCCACTAGGGTCACCCATGTTCCCATGAGAGAACTGAATGAGCCCAGCCACACGGCTTCCCACACTTTTTTCCTGATAATGCATCATGGGAAATTGTAGATGACGCTAAGAGCAAATGAGCCCCTACCACGGACCTGGGAAACACAGACACAGTTTTGGGCTCCAGGTTTTAGAAAGGCTAAGTCCTAGATGTTGTAGGCACTTGGAATGTTTGGGGCTGTCAACACAAAGGCAGAAATTTACCATTGTCATCTTTCTGTCCATCTATACATTTCGGATTCTCTCCCACCTTCTCTCTCTGTCACTGTTCCAATGTCATTCAAATAGTTAATAATGATCTAATGGTTATTTGAAAAATGAATGACATGATATTGCTAACACTGGATATTAAATGTACACACATATTAAAATGAAGGAAGGTAATTACCTTCCACAGTTAATGTAAAATTTCACTTGATCTGAATCCAAATATAGATATCATACTATTCTCCCAGGACACCCACTTCTGCCCTGGGCCCTGTCCTGTGTGAGGCATCTGACCCCATGACTGGTTAAATAGCAGCAGCACATGCAAATAGGGCCTCCCTCTGCCCGTGAAAATCAGCCCAGCCCTCACCCTGCAGCTCTGGCACAGGAGCTCCAGCCCCAGGACTCCCAGGTGTCCACTCAGTGATCGCACTCAACACAGACGCTCACCATGGAGACTGGGCTGCGCTGGCTTCTCCTGGTCGCTGTGCTCAAAGGTAATGATGGGGAACGCGGGGCACTGAGTCTGGGAGAGGACGTGAGTGAGAGACACAGAGAGGCTGAGTGACAGTGTCCTGACCAGGACGTCTGTGTTTGCAGGTGTCCAGTGTCAGGAGCAGCTGGTGCAGTCCTGGGGAGGCCTGGTCCAGCCTGGGGGATCCCTGAAACTCTCCTGCAAAGCCTCTGAGTTCGACCTCAGTAGCTATGCAATGTGCTGGGTCCGCCAGGCTCCAGGGATGGGGCTGGAGTGGAATGGAGAAATTAATCCTAATGGTGGTAGCACATGGTATGCGAGCAGGGTAAATGGCCGATTCACCGTCTCCAGAAACAACGTCAAGAGCACGCTGGATCTGCAAATGAGCAGTCTGACAGCCGCGGACACGTCCCTCTATTACTGTGCAAGAAACACAGTGAGGGCCCTCAGGCTGAGCCCAGACACAAACCTCCATGCAGGGGCGCGCGGCTCCACCAGGGGGCGCACAAGACGCACTGAGCAGACTCAGACCCATTCCCAGATGCAGTGGGAGGTGAATCCCTGGTCCTCCTGAGGAAATTGGGGTTTGTGGTCCTGTAACTATTTCTTATGTTCCAGTTCTGCATGGATGATTCTGTCCCTAACACCGATCACCGAGCAGAAGTTTTGGTATCACGGGAAGATGTCACATGAAGAAAATGGAGTCGTTTTGGAGGAATGAATGACATCTCTGGGGTCCCCAGCATCTGAGACCCGAGGGAGCTCTGGGCACCCGGGGAGGCTTTTGCAGCCCGAGTCACGGAAGAGCTCTCCATGGAATTCTCTGATGACGTCATCTGGGACCCTGCTGAGAGCCCAGGGGCAGTGTAGAGCCACTCAGGGGCTATGAATGCTGCAGTGTTTCACATCCATGCCCTCCCTCCTGCACAGCTGGGCCCTGAGGGGTGAGAAGACCCCGTGGTCCTGGTACTGGGGCTCCCGTGTGCATTCTCTATAGCTGTGCCCTCGTCTCCCTTTCACTTCCTCACCCTGAACTCACAGGTTGAGGTCCACGTGGTCCAAACCCCAGGTCAGGGATTAACCTGCAGCTCAGGGGTGGCTCAGGCTGTGGCTCCTAGAAATCCTGCTTATTCTTCCTCACTCACGTCTGCTGGGATCCCGGATCTGCTCTCATTTGCAAGCAGAGGTGGCCGTTGGTAGTGCAAGGGGTCAGACTCATGGAAAACACTGGGTGTGGAGAGGTCTTGTTCCCCACACTCTGCTGGCCTTGTCTCCATCTCAGGGAGACCAGCAGGTGGGACAGCCCAGTGAAGTCTGCACTAGAGTCCAGGTGGTTCTGGACTGTGTGTGAGCCCACCAATGATCCAACCCTGGAGCTGCATCCCTGCTGCATGAAGGGCCTGCCCCAGAGACTGTGTGTCCACAGACCCCGACTCCTTCCTCCAATGACTGCCCGCACTTGTTCTCATCCATGCTCCTCCTTCTGTGGAAGCAAAATTGTCATTCAACTCTCAACTTTATCATCATCAGAAATGGACAAATTTTCTGCCCTTCACCAGGATAACTGTATCAACCCCATCTGTTTACAAAATGTCTCCTGCAAAAATGCAATTGTTCTCTCGTGTAGTATTTTTACAGAAACTGAAGCAATTCTCTCAGATGATGTAGAAATGACTAATTCTGAGTGGTTCTGTCTAAATCTGGAGACAAAGGAGAGTCTCTGTTTCAGGTGGGAACAGAAGAGTGGCTAGTATGTTGCTATGCACCTGTTTTTTTTTTCCCCACATGTTGGTTCCAAATGTAGTACCCCAGAGGGGAGTGGAGCTCACAGCTGTAGAGGCTGATGTCCAGGATCAGACAGTGAGAATGTTGTGCCATCAGGCATCCTAATATTGTGAAAATCACACAGTGTTCAGGCATCCTAATATTGGGAACAGGGATGGGAGGGACCCCATCCCCACACAGGACGTCAGACGAGACCAGGGCTGACTCTATCAGCACTGTGCTCTATGCAGAACCTGAGAACCCAAGAGATCTACTGTGATCTCCTCCATAGCAGATTCCCCAGAAATGAACAAATCCCACTAGGCCTCACTTGCAGAGCTCCCCTACTTCTCCCACAGTCACCCTGGAATCACTCCAAAACACACACACCTTTGAGGACACACTCTGCCACAGGCAGAGGAGGGAGGTTTCCTTCCACAAGCATTGTAGGCCTGATGATTCAGAACCTGTTGTTCAGGATGAAGCCAGTAAAACAGGTATTTTGAGACTTTAGAAGACTCAGGGCCAGTTTTAAACACAGCTCATACAGAGAGTCCTTTTGTTCCTTTGGGATACAGGCTACTGATCATACATTCTGTATGAAAATAGTTACTTCCATGTGTGTGTAGGCTGCTCACTTCTCATCGGTCCACTTGCAGTAGAGAAGCTCTGTAGTTTATGCAGCATCATCTGAAAAGGTTTTCTTACGTTGCCTGAACTCTGGAGATCTAAAAGGGAAATCATGGACAGACCACTATCAGGGAGATTCTGCCCTATATTTCCTTCTAGTAGTTGTACAATGGACTTTGCATCTGATGTCAGATCCTGGTTATTCCATGCTTTTCATGTAAACATCCAGACCGTGCACCCCCTGCCAGTGCTGTTACGTTGGGGCCATGCTCAGCAATGATGCTGTGAGGACAAACCACATCCACCCTCACAGGCTGCTCCCAGCATTCCGTGTGGTCCTGTTCAGGGCACTGGAGACCTCAGCTTCCTCCATGAGGCCCTGATGATGTATCTACTCATGGTGGGAGTTGTCACTGGATGCACTCCCAAGAGACGATGTCATTCCACGTCTCCCAGGCACCTGTGCTAGTTTTACTCAGTGGTGGTCAGTGTGGGGGTTGCCGGGGGCAAGGACACCTGATCAGACCTCCTGACTCAGTGTTCTCCTGCAGGCAGTGGGTCCCCAGCTGTGTGGCCCTTCCACCTGTCCTTACCCTCCTGCAGAGGAAGATCCCACCCCTCCACCATGTCCTCTCCTTCCTGCTGCTAGACCCTGTCCTGACTGTCACTTCCCCACTTGCCATGGTTCTCCTCCCCAGTCCTCAGCTTTGGGGATGGAGCCATCCCCTGAAGATGCAGACTTCTGTGTCTTGAGGGATCAGTGCTGGCACAGTGTATGGGGTGGACTCTGCTCACGAACATTTTCTACAGGATTCCACCAGGACATTGGTCATGATGGTTTCCTCCTGCAGGTGAATCACTTTCCTACTCAGTGGACACAGAGGAGCAGGGTCTGGGTTATTGAGGCTGAGGATGCTGTTCCTGCAGAGCCGTGAGCAGAGCCAGCACTGCTTGGTGTGTGTGTGTGTGGTCTCTCCAACTGAGCAACTGAAGGCTGCATGTTAGGTGGAACTTACCCTCCATACTTGATGCACGGAGCCTGCCTTCATGCATGGGGGGACCTCACCACCCAGTGATCCCATTGAGAGGGGCTTTAGGGAGGGGAAAATACCATGAGGGTTGCTGCCTGCAATGAAGGGAATACGACCCTTAGAGAGACCCTCCCATACATTTGTGGTTCCTGGGGCTGCAGGAACAGGAATCTGGTATTGGGTGCCAGAGTCACATGTAAGACCCTTGCACTCCCTTGGGGGAGGTGCATATCTTAAACAATGCAACTTTCATTTTATTATTTACCTTATATCCATGAAATTTGATAACAGAGTTAAGATTAATGTGCTGCACATTTTCCAAAATATAATATACTTACTCTAACTTGTTTTAATTTTACTATTATCAGATTTTCAGATATTTTGGTTAAAAACTAAGAAACCCTCATTCACCTGTGCCCTACAGGATCTGCAAACTCAGGGCCTTCAACTTCTGCCCCTGGAAACCTATATGATGCTCAGCGCTGACTGGATGAAATCCGTTGTGAAGGAGCCCAAAGGGGCTCAGGCCTTAATGTGACTGGAGCAGGTGGGCCAGGGCAAGGTGACACAGGGGCAGTGGACAGCACCATGGAATGTGATATTTGTTCTTGGCGTAGTTGTGATGAGGAGTGAGAGAGGCACAGCTGAATTGCACTCAACACAGGCACACTTTCAACATGTGGGGCTGCCTCTGTATCTATCACAGCTCAACAGCATTGCCCATAGAAGCAAATTGCCCAGCAGAGAAAGTGTGGAGAACAGACAGACAGACAGCAGCACATGGAACACCACACTAAGATGCACCTGCATGAAACCTGGTCCCCTGTGCATCTCTCTGTCTAAAACAGAATCCAGCCAAAGTGCTCCATGTTCATGAACTAACTGTTGTGAATGAGGTCACTGTAGTTGGAGATGGGACTGCAAATGTCTAGACATGTTGCCCTCAGATCACTTGGACACATCCCTCAGACTTCATATTCCCTGTAAGCAACAGCAGGATTTGGCATTTTTTTAAAAAGATTTATTTTATTTACTTTATTTATTTAAATGACAGAGTTACAGAGAGAGGTAGAGACACACAGAGAGAGGTCTTCCATCCGCTGGTTCACTCCCCAGTTGGCCACAATGGCCGAAAATGTTCCGATCCGAAGGCAAGGGCCAGGAGCTTCTTGGGGTCTCCCACGTAAGTGCAGGGGCCCAAAGACTTGGGTCATCTTCTACTGCTTCCCAGGCCATAGCAGAGAGCTGGATGGGAAGAGGAGCAGCTAGGACTAGACCGGCGCTCATTTGAGATGCCGGCGCTTCAGGCCAGGGCTTTAACCCAATGTGCCACACACCAGCTAAAGTATGAGATTGGTGAACTTTTGGGGTGGGAGTTCACGGACTGGCACTTTTTGGTCCATAACTGATATTTCATTGGTGTTAATATCCAGCACACAGGTGTTTTGATGTGTACTCAATTCTTAACACACACATGCAAACCTAAAAAGCCATGAATTGCTTTTTTTTGAAAAAAAAAAGTTATTTCAATGACATTCGACTTCAAATTTGGAAGAAACACATTCATGGGCCAGTATCTTCAAAGATTGCTCTTAATAAATCCTACCCAGTCACAATTTAACATAGTATACATGAAAAACTCACTATTTCAACCTTTCATAGCACATTAACAAAATCATTAGGAAAGCTGGACAACCACAACTGATGATGGCTGTTAGGTGGAGTGGAAAGTCCTGTGTGAGGAACAGAGGTGTAGAGTGTGGAGGTGCCTCCTACCAGACTAGAGCCCCTGGACACAGCACAGCCTGTCTGTGATTCCTTCAGTAACTGTGCACGTGTTCAAGGGAGGTATCACTCATGCCAGTATCACATTTCTGTGCTTGTGCAGACACAACACAGGGGCAGGCACTGTTGTGCAGTGAGCTGAGCCCTTGTTGGGAGCCCACACCCTGTGTTGGAGTGATGGCTCAAGAACCAGCCTCTCCACCTCAGGCCCTCCTTCCTGCTTTTGAAAAAGTAAAGGTGGGGCCAGTGCTGGGGCATAGTATGTTACAGACCAAATCTGCAGTACTGGCATCCCACATGTGCACCGGTTCAAGTCCCAGCTGCTCTGCTTCCATTCCAGCTCACTGCTACAGCCAGGGAAAGCAGTAGAAGACAGCCCAAGTCCTTGGTTCCTTGTACCCGCATGGGGATCTGGAAGAAGATCCTGGCTCCTGGCTTCCAAGCCGCTAAGCTCTAGCTGTTGCGACTAATTGGAAGGTGAACCACAGGATAGACAATTGCGCTCTCTCTCTCTCTCTCTCTCTCTCTGCCTCTAGTTCTCTGTGTGTGTGTAACTTTGACTTTCAAATAAATAAATAAATGTTCAAAATATAAATTAAGGGCCCAAGCCAGGGCTCACTTGGCTAATCCTCTGCCTGATGTGCCGGCATCCCATACGAGTGCTAAGTTCTAGTCCCAGTTGCTCCTCTTCCAGTCCAGCTCTCTGCTATGGCCCAGGAGGGTAGTGGGGGATGGCCCAAGTGCTTAGGCCCCTGCACCCGCATGGGAGACCAGGAAGAAGCACTTGGCTCCTCGCTTTGGATCAGAACAGCTCTGGCTGTAGCTGCCATTTGGGGAGGGAACCAATGGAATGAAGACCTTTCTCTGTGTCTCTCTCACTGTCTAACTCTATATAACTGCCATATATATATATATATATATATATATATATATATATAAATTTTTAAAAAGGTGAACGAAATGCTTTTCTGCCCATAATCTCACAACAAACTTCACGTCCCATGGAATTAATAAGCTACTTAAGACGCCAGACACCCACGTCTGCCCTGGGCCCTGTCCTGTCTGAGGCGTCTGACACCATGCCTGCTATATAGCAGCAGCACATGCAGATAGGGCCTCCCTCTGCCCATGAAAACCTGCCCAGCCCTCACCCTGCAGCTCTGGCACAGGAGCTCCAGCCCCAGGACTCCCAAGTGTCCACTCAGTGAGCGCACTCAACACAGACACTCACCATGGAGACTGGGCTGCTCTGGCTTCTCCTGGTCGCTGTGCTCAAAGGTAATGATGGAGAACGCGGGGTACTGAGTCTGGGAGAGGACATGAGTGAGAGACACAGAGAGGGTGAGTGACAGTGTGCTGACCAGGACGTCTGTGTTTGCAGGTGTCCAGTGTCAGGAGCAGCTGGAGGAGTCCAGGGGAGGCCTGGTCCAGGCTGGGAGATCCCTGAAACTCTCCTGCAAAGCCTCTGGGTTAGACTTCAGTAGCTACAGCATGAGCTGGGTCCACCAGGCTCCAGGGAAGGTCCCGGAGTGGATCGCATATATTTATCCTGGTAGTGGTAGCAGGGCCGATTCACAATCTCCAGCGACAACGCCCAGAACACGGTGTCTCAGCAAATGAGCCATCTTACATAGGATGACACGGCCACCTATTACTGTGTGGGAGACACAGTGAGGGGCTCTCAGGCTGAGCCCAGACACAAACCTCCTTGAGGGGCACATTGCTCCACCAGGGGGTGCACAAGACGCACTGAGCCCAGATTCTGGTCATGAGCAGGTGCAGAGAAACCAAGCCCTGGTTTCCTGTCAGGGAATGGGGTTTCTGCTCTTGTAACAGTTTTGAGAGAAGAATTCTACTTTTATGACTCTGTCCCTGCCACTGACTTCACTGACCTGGAGATGTCTGATATGACAGGAAGAAGTCATGGGCCGGCGCCGTGGCTCAATAGGCTAATCCTCCACCTAGCGGCGCCGGCACACCGGGTTCTAGTCCCGGTCGGGGCGCCGGATTCTGTCCCGGTTGCCCCTCTTCCAGGCCAGCTCTCTGCTGTGGCCCGGGAGTGCAGTGGAGGATGGCCCAGGTGCTTGGGCCCTGCACCCCATGGGAGACCAGGAGAAGCACCTGGATCCTGGCTCCTGCCATCGGATCAGCGCGGTGCGCCGGCTGCAGCGGCGGCCATTGGAGGGTGAACCAACGGCAAGGGAAGACCTTTCTCTCTCTGTCTCTCTCTCTCACTGTCCACTCTGCCTGTCAAAAATAAAATAAAAAAAAAAAAAAAAAAAAAAAAAAAAAAAAAAGAAGTCCTATATGAACAGTTTCAGGTTTGTGAATGATGACAGTGGTCACCAGGATCAGACATGTGGGACTATCTGAGGACATTGTGAGTGTTGTCCAGTCTGACACAGGATGTGTTCTCAAGGCCCAGCTGGCTTTAGGGCAATTTTAGATTTTCCCTCCAACCCAGAGAGAGTCAAGCTAGAGACTTGTTTTTTTTTTTAACTTCAATTATTTCAGTCATCCCTCTTCCTATCAAAATGGGCATGTAAGCAAAGAGCACCAGCAGTCTTATTTTAAGCTGTTGTTGTTCCACATTCAATTTCTAAAGACTAACACCCAAACTCCTTTTTACCTTTAATCCTAAAACCGCTTGTCGTCCCTAAGGTGAACGTCACAGCACTCAGGAATGTACTTGCAGCTCAGCTGTGTCTCAGGCTGAGCTTCTGCAGGCACCTGGGAAGCCTACAGGGACTTCCTCATCCTCTAGGTCCTGGGACCCTCCTGGGGGGGCTCCCTGCCAGAACTCAGGAGGAAAATGCACTGGACATCAGCAGTCAAGTTCATCACTGAATGGAAAGCATTGGGTGTGCACTTCCAGCTGATCTGGTTCTGTCAAGTGTAGTGAGACCCCCTGCACCTGCTGTGGTTCAGGGAGAGCAGAAAGTGGGACACACAGTGGCTGTGCACTCTGGGGCTGGAGTTCACATCACAGGGAGCTGTGTCTGTGAGTCCAGCATGATGACCAGTGTCCTGAGGCTGAATCACAGCTGCAGGAAGAGTCAGTCCCAGAGACCATGTGTCCAGATTCCCTGCTCTTCACTCCATGTCTATGCTGACTGGGGTCATCAATCCATTTGGAGTCTTTCATTAATATTACAGAGGGAGACACCCAGGCTGCATATCAAAGTGCTGCATGGAGCCCATTTACACGCATTCCCAGACTAGTACCTGACAGTGCACCCTGGAAGACAGTAGATGATGGATCTGTTTGGAGGCCCCATCACCAAGGTGGGAACACTGATGCAGTTCCATGCTCCTGGGTTCCAGCTGCCAAGCCTTGAGTACACTGCCTTTATTTATCATCTCCATAAACATTGACAAACACAACACCAATATTCAGAGTGTTGAATCTTCATTTGTGATCATTTTTGATCATAAATGTTTGATAAATAACACAAGAACACAGACTTATGAGGTACAATAATATGTGTTGAAAAATGAATGTATCAAATTGAGAGGAGTTATGAAGTCAAACTTATTGACATGCTCATCAGGAAACCACATGTTTCCATGGTAGAATATCAGTTGTCTCCTGTTTTAGAATTCTGTAGACACAATATTCCCTTCACTGCTGTGACCATGCTGTACAGTAGATCCTCAATGTTCGGATCCTGTGGGACTGAAACTCTGACCCTACTACAGCGTCTCCTCTGCTCCTCCCTCGCTCAGATGTTGGTCTTCACCATCGTACTTCCTGCCTCTGTGACTTCATCCTTTTATCCCATGTATCCAGCATCACGTATTATTTGTCTTCTTGTCCTGCATGGTTAGCAGAGTGTACTTACCCTGACACATTATCCTTGGACATTATTCTCCAGGATCATCCGAGTTGTCCAAAATACAGAATTTCCTCATGTTTACTGCCATATAAACTTCCTGTTAAATATAATTTTGTGCATTTGTTCCATTGTTGATTCTTTCTTCATGAATATTTCACTGGATTGTATGTGTGGACTCTTGTGAATGATGCTGCATTAGTTGAACATGGAAGAGCAGAGGTGTTTGCCACATTGATTGTGGTTCCCCTGGACACCTCCCTGGGATTTCATATTCCTTCTACCCAGAAATGGTGTTTGAAGACCTTGTGAAAATTCTATTTCTCAGTTTTTGATGATTTTCCATAATAGACTTACTTGTTTACCTGACTTCGATCTTGTACCAGAGTTATCGTCTCTAGCTTCCTCCACATGGATTGTCAGCTCTGGATTGTAGGATAATACTCATTCTAACAGGAAGGATGGGATGTCTCATTGTGCATCTAATATGGACATGCGTGATGGTCCCAGATATTTTATATGTTGTCTTTATATCTTTTTTAAACATTTATGGATATTATTTCACTTATTTAGATATTTGCATTTACAAAGAGACTGAGACAGACAGTGATCTTCTAACTCCGGGGTCACTTCCCAGATGGCTACAAAAGCTTCAGCTGGGTCAGGTGACAGCCAGGTGCTTGGAATTCTGTCCAGGTGTCCACATGGCAGTACTTGGAATTTCACTACGAACTCCCAGAGGGGCTTAGGCAGGAATCTGACACTGGAACCAAACTAGGACACAGCACTAAGCATCCTGACACGGGAGGCACGAATCCCTCAGGCTCACTCCAGTGCTGCTCCTGTCACCACCTTATCATCACTGCATTTAAGGAATTGATTGCTTCCCTTGGGATCAGTGGCTTGAGTTCATTCAACATTTGGAAATAGGCTCCTAACCATATGTATAATTAATATTTCATTTATTTTAAGTATTTATTTTATTTGAAAGGCAGTGTTATAGCAAGAGAGAAAGCTATCAACAGATGGAGAGAGAAGTTTCCATTCACTGCTTTTCTTCCTGAATGGCTGCAATGGCTGGGATGCCTGAGCCTGAAGCCAGGAGCCTGGAACTTCCCCCAGTTTCCCACAGAGCTGAAAGGGGACAAACACTTGCATCATGGTAGACAGTGATCACCATTGCACTTCCTGCCTCTGTGAGTTCAAGTTTGTGGACTGCATGTATAACTAATGTCACATACTATGTGTCCACATGTACCTGCATTATTTCTGTTAGCATATTATGCTCCAGTCTGACCCATGATTTCCTAATGACAGAGCAACCTCCTTCTTAACACTGAATAATATTCCATGTCAAATGTAACAGACTGCATTCACTGTTTTAGGCACATTTCACTTTATTGTAGACTGAACTATTGTGAACAAAGCTGCATTACCTGAACCCAGGACTGCGGATGAATTGTGACACAGTGACTTCTATCCAGTGCTTGAGCTGAACTCGGAGTCATGGTTACTAAACACAGGGAAGAGGGGGAACACAGGGCAGCTGATATCAGGGCAGAAAGCACTCACAGGAAGGAATAATTCTGCCCACACCACAGTGGGCTGACTCAGTTCACCACAACCCACGACAGGTTCCATGAATAATGAGAACTGAGGCCTCCAGGTCCCTCCAACTCAGAGTGTAGGAAAGGAGGTGGAAATGTGAATGACAGTGAGTTGATCTGTGCCCATTTCTACAACACACAGATTCCAATAGCACACAAACCCCACTAGCAAGCACAGTGTTCTGTGTTCATGACGAGTGTTAAATAAGGCAATGGATGAATAAGGAAACAAAACATAGTTAACCTTAAAAGAATCCACTTGCAGTCTTTTATCTGTTTAAAAGTGGGAGGCAGGCATTAGGACAAAATTGGCAAAGTCCCCACTAGGGACACCCGTGTTCCCATCAGAATGAATCATTCAGCCACACGACTTCCCACACTTTTCTGATAATGCATTTTGGAAAACTGTAGATGACACTACAAGTGAATGAGCCCCTACCACTGACGTGGGAAACAAAGTTGCAGTGTTGGGCCCCAGGTTTTAGAAAGGCTAAGTCCTCGGTGTTGTAGGCACTTGGGATGTTTGGGGCTGTCAATCAAAGGTGGAAGTCTCCCTTTGTCACCTTTTCTGTCCATCTCTACATTTCTCTTTCTCTCACCCCTTCTCTCACTGTCACTATTCCAATGTTATTCAAATAGTTAAAAATGAACCAATGGTTATTTTAAAAATGAAGGACATGATAACACTGGATTATTAAGGATACACACATATTAAAATGAAACAAGGTCATTGCCTTCAATTGTTTAAACAACAATGATAATGTAAAGGTTTATATGATCTGAACCCTATCATAGCCATCAACCTACACCACAGGACACCACATCTGCCCTGGGCAATGTCCTGTCTGAGGCATCAGACCCCATGCCTGCTATATAGGGGCAGCACACGAAAACAGGTCCTCCCTCTGCCCATGAAAACCAGCACAGGCCTCACCCTGCAGCTCTGGCACAGGAGCTCCAGCCCCAGGACTCCCAGGTGTCCACTCAGTGATCACACTCAACACAGACGCTCACCATGGA